GATAGATACATGCAATTTTTTTAACAATTCTGAGATACTCCTTTGTTCAGACTTACTGAAATTGGCTGAAAATCTGGATGAAATGAATGGTTTTTAGAAAAATATAAATGACTAAAAGCTACCATAGGCGTTGTAGAAAATCTAAGTGATGAATTATCATGGAAAAATAGAAAAAATGTTATAAAAAATTCATTCCCCCCCTCAGCAACAAAATCAGACACTTTAATAGGTGTGAAGAATGCTTTCTACCAAATCTTTACAGAAAATAATTCCAGTACTACTTAAATTGTTTCAGGCCACAGCAAAAGAAGAAAAACCTCCAAATTAATTTTTGAAGCTAGCAAGATATCAGTTCCAAAACCTGACAAAGATAACACGCACATACAAAAAGAAAAATTATAGTCCAAACTAATCTATTAATAGCAAGGAAAAAAAATTAAAATTTTAGGAGGCAGAATTCAGCAGTAGGTTAAGAGGATGTTACCGCCTAATGAGAAATTAAAAATGACTGCTGAGAATAGCTATCGAGACCATAGATTCAGGAGCAAAATGACTGTTCAGTTCCCAGCTCTGTTACTCACCAGGTGTAGGACTTTGGACACATAATTATTTAACTTCTCTATGCCAAAGTTTTCTCATTATAGTGTATTGAGAGGAGTCAATGAATTAATGCATGCAAAGTGCTTAGAACAGTGTCTGGCACACAGTAAATACTGAATAAAGCTGGCTATTATTCAATAGTGGAAAAAGCTATTAATATATATCATTCACCATATTGATAGATCAAAAGAGAAAAATTATAATCACTTCTATAGATGCTGAAAAGTCATGGAATTACCTGACATTCATTTCTAATTTTTATGCAGATTTAACAAAGCATTATTGATGGATGCATCCTAAATATCTTAACTCAACAAAGAAACAAGATCATTAACCAAAGCATGAATCATTACTGATTGATCAAGGAAACCTTAGTAGCTTTCTTATTCAAATCAGAAGATCAGCATATCCACTAACCTCTCTGAAATTTGACATTATTCTAATCATTTTAATAGAACAGGAGAAAGAAATAAAAAGTGAAAATATTAAAAAAAAAGAGTAAGTAAAGTAAAATTATTTGAGGAGTATACAAAAGATACTCAATTCAAAATTATAGTAGACAGATATAATAAAATTGATGGATATGAAAATAAGATACAAAAAAATACAGTAATTAGAAAACAAATGGAAAATAACATCCATTTATAATAAAGAACCAAAAAATATCAAAAAATGAACTTAACAAAAATATTCAAGTTGTAGATGAATAAAACCTTAACAAAGGGATACAAAAGAAAATTTGAATAAATAGAAATGTAAACTCTTTTATTGGGTGGGAAGACTTAATATCTCTCTAAATTAACCTATAAATTCAATACAGTCTCAATAGAAATAACAGCAAGATAATATTAAATTTCAGACAGACTAATTTTCAAGCTTGTTTGAAAAAGCGAATAAGTAAGTATAGCTAGAAAATTCTGAAAAATAAGAATAATGGAGGATACTAGTCCTACCAGATATTAAAATGCATTATAAAGTTGCACTATTTCTTATAATGAGATTCTGGCAAATGGAAATACAAATCAGTGGAATGAATACAGATTGCACAAATAAGATTCTCAAGCTCAAATGGGAATTTAGGTTATTATCACAGTGACATTGCATACCATTAAATTAAAAATAGATTATTCAGTAAGTCATGTTGGAACCAATAGGAAGCCATAGGGAAGCAAAATAAAGTTGGATCCATACCTCTCTCCTTATTCTAAAATAAATATTAAACCACAAAATTACTAGAAGAAAATAAAGAACTTTAAAAAATTAATCTTGGATCAGGGAAGCCTTTTCTCTTTTAAGCATCACATAAAACCCAGGGGTCACCAATAAAAAACATGATTACATTAAACTACATGAAAATAAGAAATTTTTCCATGGCATAAAACACCTTGAGCTAAATAAAATTTAAATCAAAAATGAAATGACAAGTTGTGGGGGGAAAAAACGTACAATTTGCATGACAGAATTTACAACATGTATGACAAAGGTTAATTTCTGATATATAAAGATAACCAACAAAGCTAAAGGAAAAATGTCAACAACCAATAGAAAAATAGGTAAAATAATATAAACAAACTTCAAAGAACAAGAAATGTCAAAGTTCTCACACATATGCAGAGATGTTCAGTGATATTAGTACAATGAGAGAGATGTGAATTATAGGTCTGAAGTAGCATTATTTTTGCCTATCAGGCCAAAAACTGTTTGTTAGCACATTGTTTAGTATATAGCAAAATACTGGAACTTTTTAACATTGTTGAAGGGAGTAAAACTTGGTGTAACCTCTACCAAATCTGCCAAAATTCAGTTCAGTTCAGTTCAGTTCTGTAACTCAGTAGTGTCCGACTCTTTGCGACCCCATGAACTGCAACAGGCCAGGCCTCCCTGTCCATCACCAACTCCCAGAGTCCACCCAAACCCATGTCCATCGAGTCGATGATGTCATCCAACCATTTCATCCTCTGTTGTCCCCTTCTCCTGCCCTCAATCTTTCCCAGCATCAGGGTCTTTTCCAATGAGTCAGTTCTTTGCATCAGGTGGTCAAATTATTGGAGTTTCAGCTTCAACATCAGTCCTTCCAATGAACACCCAGGACTGATCTCTGTTAGGATGGACTGGTTGGATCTCCTTGCAGTCCAAGGGACTCTCAAGAGTC